ATCGGAGAATAACCAGAAATCAACTAGAAACAAGAAAGGAAGGCTAATTTAGGGGCACGCAACAAGTAGATACCCTTTCAAAACGATTATGTCATATGTCACTCATGTATAAGTATACATGTAGTCATGCGATAATGATACAATATATAAAGCAATAACGCAATACAATTTCTGTTCGTTGGTTTTTTGTTGCAATACGATTATATTGTAAAAGAAGATTGATCAAAATCACAGCATCCTTTTGTAAGGGTATACAAAAAACTGTTGCAGCCAGACAAGGAGAGATGAAGTGCTCAACCGAACAGTTTCCCATAGAAAAGCATTTTCTCTGCTGTGTAATTTTGTATGAACGGCCGCCCTCTATCCACTCTACTGTCCCCAGTTTTCACTTCCTCTGCGAGATATCTCCTTATGGGACCCGTTTTAATTTGTGGGTCATATTTAGACTAACTTTGAGGGCCAATTGGCAGACTGCCCGAGTGACAATTGAAGCTGCCGCCAGTGCCAATAAAAAAAGGGGGAAAAAAGGCTAACATGATTGGTGAAGAACGGAGAAAGCGTAAATGCGGTAAAAGCCAACGAACGGAAGGGCCCGACATGGTCAGGTTATTTTAACAGTCCCGCCCCAAGAGACGCCGCAGCACTTTTTATGAGTCCCGCAGTTGTGGCCTTAGCTCGTATGTAAATCAAGTGGTTGCGTTTCGGCTGACCCATGGGGCGAGGGCGAACGTGTACGTGTACGTGTAGAATCTTGAATTGCAATTTCAATAACGAGACACGAAATATTTTCAAGTGAACAGCTATGCAAGCCGATGCCGCACTTGAAGTTGCTGTCGGGGCAACACCCAAAAGATAGAGACAGCAGGGGAGAATGGAGCCAGAAGAATATATATATGTACTGCCAATTATATCCACACATCCTTGAGCTATATATTTTTCCATATTAATTGATTATTAATTAATATATAATATTTATAATATTTTAATATTAGTCAAAATAAGTCCTTAATCAAATCGAAATGAGCAATACAAATATATTTTAAAAAAAGAGGAAGGAGCAGCATGAACCGAAAACCGATCTGCAGGAAAGCACAGCGAGAACGATTGGAATGCCGTTCCGGTTTGCCCACTCTCCATAACGAAGCATCCGAAAATATGAAACAAAAAGCGAGAACAAAAACAAAAACATTAATTGCTCATCAATTGCTGGGAAACGCAGTCCCAGCTCCCATCACGACCGAAATGAAACGAAACGAACCATTCTAAACTGACCCACAGACCCACTGGTTGCCGGGTCTTGCTCTGGCCGGCACTTTTGCTGTGGAAATGGGGGTCTGGGGCTTGGTAATACGGCGTGAAGCCTGGGACAAGGCCAAGGGGATGGCCGTCGCCAGCGCCTATGCAAATTTTGTGTTTATTTTCGGCAGCGATGATGCGGCATCGCCGATGTGTTTTTTTTTTTGTTTGGTCTGCTGAGACGCAAACTCGGAACGGAAGTGTTTTCGCGATGTGTAAGAGATCCATAGCTGGCTCCGAGGCTGAAATTGAAGCCGGAGCTGAAGCTGTGGCTGGAGTTTGCCAAGTGGCAAGAGGCAGTGAAATTCACACGCGATGAGTGTGCCCAGGAGGTAATTACTGGTCCAAGTACCGCTGATGCCCCTTGCCACCTGACTGGATCCCTTGACAAACGCATTGTCTCACGAGTGTTGAATCATCGTGTCTTAGATTTAAGATTAGTGCATGCCCCTGGCAATGTCTGGCCAGTGACTAAGGGCACCCTCCCCCTGCTACTCTGCTATTACTGCTGCTTGTGGTCTTGTCAATTTGCTAACCAGCAATGTGTCAATAATCTGTTGGAAGGGGAGTCGGGAGCTGGGAATATACGCAAGCGTTAAGAGTCGGACGTCGAGCGCCGCAAGCCGCACGCCGCACGCGACCCTTGTTGACACATTCGAGACGCGACGCGGACGGCGCTGAGACCGAGCAGTTGCCGCTGGCTCTGGCACGCGATAAAGCTGCGACTGCGAAGGGGTCTATCAATTAGTCATACCTGTAGCGGTACCCGGTAATGGGTTACGGGGCTACGGGTTGGCGTTGTCTCCCGCGCACCAAATACTAATTACCCCAAAACGACACTGCCATCGGAGACATTTCCAGCCATAAGTGATAAGCGACCATTTCAATTATGTAGCGACGAATTATATTAATAATGGCGATAATGCTGGGCATTAGACGTGCGATTTGCTGGCATCAAAGTATCACCGGGCGACTTATCGATTGTTTGATTTGACTGATAATAACCGGCAATTACAGCGAAATTCGCAATTGGCGGGGGACCCGTGTGGACGTCACAGAACATGACACCTACGTCAGCCGGTGACCGTCGTTCAAATGTCAATTGCTAAATTTAGCGCCAGGTGGATCTAGGCCGAACCCAGCCGGGTCAAATATATGTGTAATTGGCTGTCTTGGATAGCATACATATGTATATACATATTTACTATGTATAGACCAGGACGATTCGCACTTCTCGCTCTACCATGGCCCCCCAATCGACGCGTCGTCCAGTGAGTCATGTGGCCTTCGAAGAGGAGCTACCCGCTAACCAAGTGCTTCAGTTGGGGCTTGAAGACTTGGCTCATATCCATCATATATCTAGGGGGGTGAATGGGGTGTGCTTATTCATTCTCGTCGAACCATTAGTCAACATCCACGAAGACAATTGGCTTGAATGCGAATGTGAATACCCCTGGCCGACGCTGCTTCAAAGTTCAATCCCAGCCACGACGAGGTCTCTGACGAAGACGACGCGTGGCGATAAGAGTTCAGTGGAAAAGTGGCCCGAATTATGGCTAACTGCTGCTGAATAAAAATTTTATTGGACCCACACCACGCAGCATGTCAGCATGTAATTAGAGGGGCCAAAGAGCGAAAACCCCGTTAGCGCACAGTGGAAACAGTTCCGACCCTCCCATTCCCGACCCTTCTAGATTGATGGGGTCCCTGGCTCCACTGTGCGGAGATCTTCTTTGGCATACAAGTTTTCCAATCTACCTTATCGGTGCTTTCATTGCCGCCATCCGACAACAGCGCGTCATCTCTGCCACACGAGAGCCCGGGACGAAGCTTACCAACCCTTCTGTTGCAGGTGTCATCGACGCTCACACTTTGTAAGATACTCGTACCCCCGTGCCATGCCACAAGCCGTGCCATCACACGTTCGTTCTAATGTGATGAGTCTTGGGTGTTGAGGCAATGTACCCTTGGCCCCAGGGGGCAAAGATCGACGATCGCTTCAAGCGGTGATCGCATTACCCCAGTTGATAACGAAAACCAATTTTGCCTCAATTTCGGGATCATGATATCACGAGTAGACCAGAACCTTGGCTTGGGAGTGTACCCACACGGTGGGGCCGAAATGAAGGTGCAACCTTATCTAGCTGCAGCCCACTGTACAATTATTGCCACAAGGTATGATCGTAAATCAAAGTACCGATTTAGTCAAGATAAAAATTAGCGGCAGAACTATACAACTATAAAACTAACGATGCGATCGCACTCTACAGGCCATTCCCCCATCGATTCTTAACATTAACGAACAGAATTATCGAATGTGAGTGTGCGTCAACTAGGTCTAGTTCGAGCACATGATACAATTTCAGAAGGAAATGAAATGAAATAATTTATAATACTTTTTATCAATTTGAGTGTGAATTGAATAGAATTTCCAAGCACAAATCCGAAAATGTCCGATAATGTCAAAAAATTTCCGGAAAAGCATGAACATGTCCGAATATGGCTCCATCCAATCATAAAGAAGCCCATGTCCCAACCCAGACTTGGTTGGAGAACTTAGATGGCCAGATCGATTGCCAGTTGTCTCTATTGTTTCACCCCGATTTCCCATGGCCCATTGTCCATTGCCCATAGCCTCTGGGCCAAGCCGAAAAAATCCCCCCCTAATGCAATTAATTTCGCATTGAAGCTCAAAGCTAGCCATACCACGCCCACCTTGCCGCTGCCCTCCCCGTTGAGGCTGCAGACGAAGTTTTGGAATGGGGCATCATCAAGTGACGCAAACAAAAGCCTCAATGGTAGACAGCAAAATGAAGGTGTACATAATGAGACACATGTACACGTAGATGTACATGTACTCGTTCGCTAAAGAAAAACTCCCCGTCGTAATATGAATGGAGAAGGGAGAAGCAGGGTACGTGTACGGGAGGGTTCTGGAGGGTATGGGACCTAACGGACCTTAGCCAACGGCAGAGCAGAGCAAAACAGAGCAGAGCAGAGCATAGCACGGTTTCCCTCCACTCCATAAGTAATTGATGAAAAATAAATATCATGGGTAAATATATTGTATAAATAAATGCGATGGGGAGGGCGTGAGTGTGTTTGAGGTTGCTGCTGGGGCATGGGGATGGGTCTGGGTGTGGGGCAATCATCGAATCAAATCCAATAATAATTATAAGCGTGGCGCGCACTTCTGACTCCGATTGCGATTCTTTCGCACGACGGCACTTCGCATTGACGTCGGCGACAACTGCTGACTGCGGACTGCGGACAGCGCACTCGAGGAGATAGCAGAGGCTCCAAATGTCAGAGACATACAGCGGCTGCGACTTCGACAGCGGCAGCGACTGCGACTGCGACTGCGGCGTCTCGGCCTGGGACTGCCTCACACGCAGTCGGACCGATTTTCGTATAAATATAAAATTATGCGACGGTCCGAGGCTATGAATCAGTTTCGCTTAGACACACGCCAATGCTAATTGTCTCGGCCTGTCGCTCCGTACTAGAGAAAGAGCCAAAGAACTCCATAAATCGAATTCGAATCGAACTCAAAACTTATTTGATCCAAGGGATCATCGGTGCAGTGCGTGCATAGCCGACGTGCAGTATTAACCACAGTATTCGCCAGAACCAATATACAGTATTTTAGCATACATATATGCATCGTAGCCAAATGGAGTGTGCCAAAATAGAAAGTGATCTGGCCACCAACATGTGCCATCAAAGTAAGTACGCAGCAGTAGAAGTGCGAGTCCAACGGTTTTCGGGATATTCCTATCTTTGTGCCCGTAATTAGATCACTGTCTTTCCGATAGATACCTTCCATCGCATTTCGCAATTGTTTAAAAAAAGATGATTGCTCGTGAAAAGTTTCCCCATGATTAATACAGCGAGCGCCTCCCTCCTCATCCGGCAGCTCTCTCTCTCTCTCTGCCTCTATCTCTACCTCTCTCTCTGCCTCTGTTTTTGCTTTGCTGGTGTGAATCCCCGCCTGGTCCGAAGCGCGAGGCGCGAGGGCTCGATTGGACAGTTAACAATAGCAGAGTTTGATTTGCAAACAGTTTCCCAGGCAGATTCAAATCCAAATCCATTTCTTATGCACATCGTTCCGTATGCAACTCTGATTCGAGGAGCTCCTATGATCTATTTAGCCCCTCCTCCCTCACATGACTCGTGAAATATTTTTCGCGTGCTCTCCAGGCTTTAGTGTAATCTCTGATCTACCAGCCATCACATGGTTTCGATTAGGGAGACCGCGCCGTGGGCCAATCGAGATGCCGGAATGGAGATCGGATCCCCTTTTGTTTGATCGCACAGGCCATAAAACGGTTTACTACCGGCTGTATAAGGTGGAACTGTTCGATTAATCATCATCCAGGCATTCAGGGCACTCATCCAACCAGAACTTTCCTTCGCCCTCGATTACAGACCAATTATGGCTTTGGCCCGACTCCGCCCGGCCAGGTGATCCCAAGATTTGAAGCCCAGCCTACAGCGGCATGGGGTGGGCAGCAGCACGTGCCTTGTCGCTGTCGACGCCGCTGGTAGCGTCAAGCAGCCGCTGGCGTTGACGTTGGCGTTATCAAGTCGCTGACCTACGGCAACAGCCGGCGCGGAGTGCCTAGGGGCCAGAGCGAGGCGACGAGACAGCAAAACAGCGAAAAAGCGGTAGAGGGCGAGAGCGGGCGAGTGTGAAATACGAATTATTTAAAATCGAGCGGCGTGTTCCCCGTCCATCGATGACGATTTGCCGCGGAGGCGGGAAATGGATATGTTGAGCTCCGACTACGTCATCGTTGGACTGCGGCTGTTGCTCGCGAGTCTGGGCCACGTCTGGCATCGCATAAAAAACCCAAAATACTATGAGTAATCCGAATCTCTTGTGAAATTCTGCCGAATCGGGAGAGCAGTGGGAGTGAGAGAGAGGCAAGTTAAGAGCGCATGACAACGCTCAACAAACTGTTTCGAAAAATTACTCAATCTTAGCAAGTATTGCTCGCTTTCTGGCCTAAACCAACGCGCTGTGACTCTCTCTCTCTCTCTCTCTCTCTCTCTCTTCGGCCTGCAGATCGCACTGAGGTAGAAGCTGTAATTGCACTCACTCTCTCAGTGAGTGTGAGTGGGATCGAGTAGTGAGTGCCTGGCTGAGTGCGTGAGTCTGCTGCGACTCGATGTCTGATGAGCTGTGAGTGGTTGGCGGCGGCTTCAAATCTTCCAGTGCCGTTGCATCGTCCGTCATTTAGTCATCAACCGCCGAGTTGAAGAGAGTTCGCACCGATCTCGCGCTCGCCCGTGATTTTGTAGTTTTTTGTGATATTCGTTAGTGTTAATCGTGCAGACCATGTTGCCCCTGCTAGCCTTTGCCTTAAACGGTACGAACCTGATTCCATCCGCCATTCCACAACCCGCTCTAATCAATCTCCTCTTTGGCCTTGCAGCGAAAATTTTCCCACAGAGTCACAGCGGCAGCAGGTCACATAACTGGAGCTGGAACTGCAGCAGCAGTAGGCGCCTTCTGCTCTTGATAATGACCCTGGCTGCCCTAATGCCGCTGCCACAGGCCCGCCACCTGCACGACCAGGTGGCTCTGGATTACGCCTATGACGAAGATGCCTCCGGCTTAGCCCGATCAGCGGCCGCCTCCATCACTTCCTCCTCCTCCTCGTCATCTTCAGCGGCAGAGAGTCTGCCGGCGTGGAATGTCAACCCCTTCCACGGACTGGAGGCCAGCTTCGGTGAAGGCAGCTACGATAATGATGTGAGCCTGAGCGAGAGCAGCTACGAGGAGATCGCCCAAGTGGCCATGAGGGCCGCCCGGCGGGAACTGCGCCGACAACGCACCCGCCACGCGCGCAGCCACAGCCTGCGTCTCTTCTCCAGCACCCCACAGGCGCCCGAATGGGAGAACCCTTGCGGGGGCATCTATCAGCCGGACGAGAGCCTGCCCGCCGAGGCGGACAGCTCCAGCCAGGGACGAGTGATAAAGAGAAAGGTAAGGAAAACTCCTTGGAATAGGTTCACCGTTCACCACCACGACCTCTTCATTATTATGCATTGCAATTTCTTTTACTGATGGCCGCCGGCTCTTTTCCCTTGCAGCACCTGGTCGCCTTGCGGAACATCACCATGAGCGAGTACCAATTCATCCGCAGCAGCGCCAAACTGGAGTACGGCAACTACCAGCACTGGCAGCGCGAGTACAAGTTCCTGCCAAACATGACGCGGCCCACAAATGCGGTAAGTGGATTGAGCCCCGATCGAGTGTCGAGTGACGTGCGATGAACGATGAGCGATGGGCAATCGCGGATCGGTGTTCGGTGATGAGTGTGGACCGGCTCCGCCCTGGGCGGCTAAGACCAGTTTTCCTGCCGCTCATCGCATTGCTCTCAGTGCCTGGACTGCAAGTCTGATTTGCATGCCCTTCTTGCTTTGGCTCGACTAAAACTAACGCTCGCCCATTCCCTCCCTTCCAATTTGACCCACAGGTGAAGCTGAAGACCTGGTACCGCAACATGCAGACCTTCGTGGGCAGCTTTTCGTACCTGGGGCGGGCACAGTACAAGTACCGCAAGGAGCATCAGCAGAACCTCAACGCCGTCACACACGAGCTGCATGATCTGCTGGTCAGCGCGCGCAGCATGCTCTGCGAGATCGAAACGACCATCAACGCCTCCTACCCGAACAGCAACGGGGCGAAATTGAGCCGCGTCAGCCGGGCGGCGATGCTGGAGCGATTGCGATTCCATACGCCCCCCGACGGGAGCCAGGAGGCGGACGAGAGAGACCTCAAGGTCAGCAAGGAGCTCTACATCCAGTACCTGGACAACGTATGGAAGACACTTCGCCGGGCCCTGCGAAAGCAGCACCGCAACAGCCAGGAGCGGCGCCAACAAGTGGGAGCTGGAGCGGCGTCGGGTGTCGGAGCCGGACCTGGAGCAGGTTCTCTGCGGCATTCCAGTTCTGAAAGCATCGAGCTTGGTTCCTCCAATGCGGCCATGGTCAACGGATCTGACTGCGCCGGCAGTGGGTCGGTGGAATGCTGAGCCTGAACCCTAGTCACGCTTAATCCTGCTTCAGCCCCAACCCCAGCCCAAGTCCCAGTCCCGCCCTGTGCGCCTCCTCCAGTATTAGAGCCAAGCGAATGCTGTGCACAGTCTGTAGTTCGTAGTACCTCCTTTTGTTGTTCCAGCTGCAGCATTCCAAGCCGCTTCCAAGCCAAAAACACACAAAGAGAGTCACACAAACCGAAAGAGAAAGATAGTGAGAAAGAGATAGAGATAGAGATATAAGTCGCTACGTATAGAAAAAGAATGACACAGGGAGAGAGAAGAATTTTGTCGAATGCCATTTTATAATTTTACTAAGCATTTATTATAACTTATTTATTGAGCAAAATCCATGCCACGAGCTTTCCAAACTCGTATTCCTAGTATTATCATCTCCATTCCGCCTTTGCCTTCCCATCGAAAATCATTCGTCACTATTTATTTCCCATTGGAAGTACTCCTTAGTATTCTTGTATTCGTATTTTTTTGTTCTATTTTTAATAATTTATTTATTTATTTATTTATTTATTATATTTATATTTATTAATGAGCCGCGACTGCCCCTCGCCACTCCCCGTAACAAAGAAAACCAACAACAAACAAAAAAATGCTTAAATCTACTGTGATTTATTTTAAGTAATTTTTTTGAATAGTTCTTAGTGAATGATGAGTAAATCTTGTAAATGAAAATAAGAATCCAGCGACAGAGGTGATGTGCCGTTGTCCCTGGCTGGTTATTGAATCGCCATGAAATCTCTGTGAAATAAAAACTGAGCAAAGACATACAGGACTACCTTTTATTAATTTTTGGTTTCTGCTGGGTTTAGCTCCACAATTCGGCCATTTCGTCGGGTACCAACTGACCCAGCTTATCACCGATACCACTGATAATTTCCGGCAGTTATTGCAGTCGTCCAGGTTTTCGCAGTCGGCATACCGCTTGTAACAGTTAATAGCGTCGTTCGCAGCGGACTATCGGCCGTACTTGAGGGGGTTCTAATACAGGAAGTAGGTCGAATTGGTTTCCGTTTCCACTCCACCGAGGTAGCAGAACATCCGCTAGTCGTATTCTTTATCCGTATCGCACATCTTATCAGCGCCCAGTGGTGCTCTCCGCTTGGTGAACTATTCGATGAATGCAGCGACCGACCTGCGACTAGTGCGAAAACTAAAATACATAGTTTTATAGCAACTTAGTTTACAAAGTTTTTAATTTTTGTTGTTGAACAGTAGCTGTAGAATTGCCCGATATAAGGGCGAGCACAATTACGGTAACATCGAATCGCTTTCAGGACGCTTCGTTCTAGGAAAAGACAAAAATATTTGATTTTATGTTATTGATCAGCATCAGCAGCAAAGTCAGTCCATTCGTCTGTCTCTTCAGATTTTAAGATATCTGGCTATTCTATACAGTCCATTATTTGTCAGGATGTTCACGAATCGGAAACATCTTTTCTAGTGTCTTAGTTTTTTAATATATACCCCATATACAATTTTTCTTTTTGTATGTGTCTACCATTTATTTAAAGTGAAATACGATTCGGTTCCGCTGTTACTGCCCAAAATTACTCATACGACTCGCCTAACTCTTGCTGATAGGGGCGTGACTCTATAATTATACACATGCTGAAATGTATGGAAAATGTCTAGTTCCTGACGCGACGTGTAGGGGCGCCATATAAGCGGTTGCAAAATCAGCTAAAAGCTTATGTAGCAAAAATGTAAGATGTATAATTCTGCCTTAAATTTGTCGAATGTTTTCGAATACAGCTTTTCGAATGTTGCACCGAATTTAGCAACTGCTGCGTAGCGCCACTGTGTAATTCTTTCGAACTAATGTTTCAGCTTGTTTCAACTTGTTTCAACTTGTTTCAAACTGTCAGGAACGCATCTGCCCCATTTTCGCAGCTCTAATCGCCTTTGTTTTACACATATTCGCAAATATATCTGTCACTATATATGTATATCTCTCGTATCTTATATAAATATCTCATTTATATCTCTCCCTTTACGTGGGTCTGAAATTACATTTGTTTCTAAGGCGCCTTGCCTTTTATTGTGCGATTTCTTTTGCTCACACTTTTGTTTTGCATTTAGTATTTTACTTTCTCCGTCCCTTAGTTTCCCACACTGTACACCGTATACCGTGCAGCGTAGAGCTCCGATAACTGGCTACTTTCACTTGATAAGAATTTTAGAAGCAGTGGGGACACTTTCTTGTTTTTATTCCGCTGCTTTCTTTTTCCTTTCTTTTCGGCTCGAACGCAGTTTTTTTAACAAGTATGTACATATATAGTTTCTGCGCCCGATTTTTAGTCTCCAATGGAGACTCGCCAAATATTTGCTGCCTTTTGATGTCAACAACAGCAACAACTTGGCGCAACGCTTTAACATATCGAATTTTTTGCTAGAGCTACAGAGATCCATCATTAGCAAAATCGATTCAATAGTATCGAAAGAAAATTATTATTAAATAATATATGTATACTAGGTGAACCGGCAAACGTTGTTTTGCTATTCGAAGAAATAAATTTGATGTAAATGCTCGATTAAATTGTTAGCGTTGTTGGTCAATTCCTCCACGTCTGTCGACTATGTATCTGCGCGTTACTCTCCGTTCTACTTAGTTGCCCTTGTGGATTTCGTTCATCTCGGGTCTCTTGCGATTGCGATTCCCGTAACTGCGCCATGCTCACACGCTCATCTGCATTGTTTTCTTGGATTTGGTCACCTGAAAATCATGTTCTTATATCTCGCATGGTTCTAGACTTGATCGTTTGACGACTCAAATTTGCTCTCTGGGTGTTCTTCTTCAACTCATTACAAGAATTTATTGTAAAAAAAAAGTTTTTTTTTAGATGTGCTAGGGATGACTTCCAAGATGAAACGAATACCGGACATCCGACCCCACAAAGGACGAAAATTTGTTGCATCCACAATATTGAGGATACAAGAAAACTAAAAACGCAGAATCATAGATAATGACCATATCTATGCGGTTGCTGAATCTGGATCAGATCATATCATTTTTATAGCCAAAAGCAACAAATCTATTTGCAGTGGCTACGCAGCGCCCGACGTCACGCTCAGACTGATTTTCTGTCTTTCTCGCACTCTTTGTCGTGTCGTTTAATATTAGCGGCGTCTGCCGGAGGAGAGCCATACTGACTTAGTATCGGGTATAACTGTGGAGTTGTGGTGTCCGCAGCAACTCACAACGTTCCCCCTCGTTTATTGTATAATTATTATTATAATTATTATTCTTGATTTTTATTGTATAATTATTATTATAATTATTATTCTAGATTTTTATTGAATAATTATTTTTTTTGATTTGTATTGTTTTTGCTTGAAATAAGACTAAAAAAATTTAAAAAAAAAAGGGGGGAACGAAATTTTGAAATATACGTTTAATAGTGAGATCTAACAGGAGTGTGGATACAAAATTTGGTTACTCTAGCCTTAACAGTCTCTGAGATTTGTGGATGCCCCAGATATTCGTCCTTTACGGGGGCGGAAGGGGTTGTGTTTTGAAACTAACTTCTCAAGATCCGATACCACAGGAGTGTGGATACCAAATTTGGTTGCTCTAGCTCTTATAGTTTCTGAGATCCTTGAACTCACATTTTGCAATAGACAAAGACGACCATGAAACCTGTGTGTTAAAGAGAGACACAGCGAGAGAGAATGAAGTTGTTTTCTTGATTGTGGCTATAATAATTATACGATCTGGTTCAGATTTCGAGCTCTGAAAGATTAAGTCATCCTCTACGATTTTGCGTTTTCTTTTCTCTTGTATCTTTGAAATTGTGGATGCCACAGATTTTCGATCTTTGTGGGAGCGGAAGTGGATATATATGTGACATATCACAGAAGTTCGGATATAAAATGCCGTTGCTCTAGCTCTTATGGTCTTTAAGAACTAGGCGCTCATAAGAACGGAAAGACGGACAGACAGACATGGCTCAATCGACTCGGCTATTGATGCTGATCAAGAATATATATCCTTAATGGGGTCGGAAACGCTTCCTTCTGGACGTTACACACATCCATTTTAACCACAAATCTAAAATACTAATCACCCCTATACACATTTTGAGTATCGGGTATAAAAATGAATTTCCATATTTTTTGCAATGTGACGAACGCCCGAAAAAAATACTTGACGTCACTGAAAGTTACCGCTGCAGCCGTTCACAGAGGCATAGCAGCGAACTAACAGTGAAAAAAAAGTTCTCCTTTGCCGTTATAGAAAAGAGTCATGTTAAGTTAGCAGAGAGATAACAGCGAATGGAAGCGGAGTGAGAGAAGCCCTGACATTAACTCTGTGATCCACACAGCTCATGTTTATGCTCTTGTTAGGCCACACACTTTTGGTCTGGTTCTTATCAGTGGGGTAGGAAGAGATAAGATTATAAGAAATGAAGGACGATTCATAGGCGGAGCTTTGACGAGTAATATTCAACGCTACTCTATTGGATTATGGTAACAGGCGAGTCCTTCTGTACATACATATATGTATGTATGAATTTCCTCTTACATTTTTCTTAGTATTTTAATTATATTCTTTTCTATTTTCATATATATTGTTCTTTGCTTCCTATTTCATTTAAATTGGGCTTTTGTTTTTGATTAGATATCGACGCTGCTATTGATGCTGAGCAAGAATATATATAATTAAACGGTCTGGAACGCTTCCTTCTGGGTGTTCAACACATCCATTTCAATTACTAATCTAATATGTATACCCCTATTCCCATTGAGTATCGGGTATAAAAAACTCAAAAAAGAAAGAAAAGAAAAAAAAACTGGAGAAATTGGAGGGAGACCCACACACTCAAATAAACACATACTTACATACACAAACATCAAAAATGACACCTACACACGTAGACACAGAAAGAGAACGCATTAAATTCAATTAACAAGACATTGTAAATATTGTCACACCTTTCACAAAAGTCAACATTACACTCGAAAGTTGTCGTTGGTATATA